AGGGAAGCCTGGCCCCACAACCACAGGCTGGAAGGAAGGGTGGGGACAGACGGAAGCCCCGTAGGGGTCCAGGACCCATGGAAGCCGAGATAGAAAAGGGGCAGGGAAAGAGCCTGGCTCAGGGGAGGAAGGCTACCTCTGGTGCACAGTTTGCAACTCTGCCTGCTCCTTAGAAACCTCCAGAAGACGATGCTGAGGAGGGCTGAGGGACTGGGAAGAAAGCAGCTTCAACTCAAGCTGAGGGCCTCCCAGGGTCCAAATGGAAAGGAGCCCACCTCTCTGGGATGAAGCCTGGAGTGGAGTGAGAAGGGCTGGCATCCTCGCCTCGGGTTACAGGAGGAAGCAGGGCTGGCTCCAGTTCTAGCCAGAGGTGCCCCAGGAACGCAGGGGGAGCGTGAGAAGTGCTTACCAGGGTCACCTGCCTGAGTAAGGTGAGAGTAAGCCTGTAACTGAGCTCCTCCAGCCCGGTGTCTACAGGAGATCTACTCTGCAGCAGCACCTGTGGCTCTGGAGAGCCATCCTAGGAGGGAGCCCAGGAAGAAGGGAAAAGCAGGGGAAGGCTGTGGCTCTCCCAGGGGCCTGGGCTTCCAGAACGAGCTAGCCCTGAACTCTCAGCTGTTGTCGGGACGTGTGCTTTATTTCCATAGTGGCAGGTGGTCCTTTCCCTAAAATCTATTCTCTAATGTTAAGAGTAATAGGTTCACCGGGCGCGGTGGCTCAAGCCTGTAATCCCAGCACTTTGGGAGGCCGAGGCGGGTGGATCACGAGGTCAAGAGATCGAGATCATCCTGGTCAACATGGTGAAACACTGTCTCTACTAAAAATACAAAAAATTAGCTGGGCATGGTGGCCCATGCCTGTAATCCCAGCTACTCAGGAAGCTGAGACAGGAGAATTGCCTGAACCCAGGAGGCGGAGGTTGCGGTGAGCCGAGATCGCGCCATTGCACTCCAGCCTGGGTAACAAGAGCGAAACTCCGTCTCAAAAAAAAAAAAAAAAAAAAAAAAAAAAAAAAGAGTAGTAGGTTCATGACAGAACATTTAGAAAATGCAAAGTAGTATTTTCTAACTCCCTCCATTTGCATATTGGTTGATTTCCTTCCATTTTCTTTCCTACCTACATGCCCAGGTTTAACATAATTAGTACCTCACTCTACATACGGTTTGGCAGTCTTGATTTTTTTCCAATTCACGTATGAGATTGTGCCAGTCTTTATTCAATCATACAATGAAATGTTACGTACCATTGTTGATGGCTATATAATTAGCATTGGACAGAGCGAGCACAGTGGCTCACGCCTATAATCCCAGCACTTTAGGGGGCTGAGGGGGATAGATCGCTTGAGGCCAGGAGTTAGAGACCAGTTTGGCCAACAGGGCGAAACCCCATCTCTACTAAAAGAAATACAAAAGTCAACCAGGCCTGGTGGCACACACCTGCAATCCCAGTCATTCAGGAGGATGAAGCAGGAGAATCACTTGAACCTGGGAGAGGGAAGCTGCATGAGCCAAGATTGCTCCACAGCACTCCAGCCTGGGTGACAGGGCAACCGAGACTGTCTCACAAACCAAAACAAACCAAAACTAACAAAAAAAAAGCATTGTATAGCTGTAACCAAATTTATTTAAGCAATTTTCTGGTGCTAGGTGTTTTAGATGCTTCAGATTCTTAGCTATTTTACATGAAAACCATATAGTTACTTTAGGATTCAATTCAATTACTTCTTCCTCCAGAAAGCCTTCCTGAACTACTTCAATACCCAGCAATATCTCCCACCTCTGAATTAAGACAACCTGTGTTCTGTCTGACACACCTTAGCATGGAGTCCGTGTGTCACTGCTCTCTGAAGACTGTCTTGTGGGTGGTGGGCTATGTCAGGTCCAGGACTGTACTGCACACATTCCTGGGAGCCCCTAAGCAACTAGTATACTCAATACATGATAACTGCTTTGACCCAGGCCCCTTAGATTGTATGAACCTGATCAGCTCCATTTTCTAAGGGTCAGGATTACAGGTGCCCACTATGGCCCAGTTGGAAATTTTGCTTCTTCTCTGGCCACTGCATAGGTACAAAGGTTTCCTGTTATTCAATCACAACTTCAGGACCCAGTACCCTCCACATGAAAGTCTTGAGCTTCAAGCAAGATCACCATGGCTAAAGGTTCTCCCAACTTGACTAGAGCTTCACAGCACTCATGACCCTGGCAATCACCAAACATCTGTACCCACCCCAGAGCTGCATGGTGAGGATAGGGCCCAGGCTCTGGTGCCAGACAGTGAGGGTTCCAATCCCAGGCATGGTAGTGGTCTGGCAGGGCAGCCAGAGGACTGCTTGGGTTCCTTGGTGGGTATGGTCCCCAGACAGTGCAGGGGAGCTGGTCGCAGCATGCCCTGTCCCAGCCACCCTGCACACTTCACCTGATGCAAGGTACCCACCCTTCAGCTCACAGAAATGCCCCCTGCCTTGCAGAGGCACCTGACCTTCCAATCTCCAGTCCACAGAGGTTGAAGTTCAGGGGTTTCTCAACACGGCCTTCTAGGCTCTCCGCCTGCTAGGCATCATCCCTCACCACCTGCCCCACTGCTGCTGTGGCAACTGGGCAGGACCTCTCCAACTCAGGCACACCTCCACCACTGCCTGGAGTGACTGTCTCCTGACACATCCTCTCTCAAACAGCACCCACTTCCTAAGCAGCTTCCCTGACGCCCCTGGGGAGAATTCAGTTTTCCCGCCCCTCCACCTCTCTGCTCTTACCATATCTGAATGAAGTGGAGCTGCTGTGTCCCTCTTCTGTGACACTTTTATTTATTTAGTTAGTTTTTAGATGGAGCCTCACTCCATCACCCAAGCTGGAGTGCAGTGGCAAGATCTCGGCTCACTGCAACCCCCACTTCCTGGGTTCAAGCAATTCTCCTGCCTCAGCCTCCCAAGTAGCTGGGATTACAGGCGTGTACCACCACTCCCAGCTAACTTTGAATTTTTAGTATGTTTTAGCAAGTTGGCCACGCTGGTCTTGAACTCCTGCCCCAAGCAATTGGCCGACCTGCTTCAGCCTCCCAAAGTGCTGAGATTACAGCCATGGGCCACCATGCCCAGCCCCCTGTGACATTTTCAAGCAGGGGTACGTTACTCATCACAGAGATCTGTCGATTTGCACTGAACCCTCCATTGGAAAGCAGTGAGAAGCACACCCAGCATAGACCTGGCTGGCTGACACCCAGAGAAGGTTCATTTGCCAGGGGAAGGACTTAGGTCCCACCAGCTTTGGGGAATGAGCAAAAATTAAAAATAATAGCTGCCATTTACTGAGTTCCCTGCATACCAAGCACCTTACAGACAATCCAATTACTCTTAATTACCTCGGTGAGGTAGACACAATTACCATTCCCATTTTACAGATGAAGACACTAAGGCTCTGAGAGGTTAAGCAATCTGCTACAGTACCAGGTAAGTGGGTGGCAGAGTAGGGATTCAAATCCAGGCCCATGTGACTCAAAGCCTAGCTCTCAACTGCAGTCTCAGCGGAGAGCCTTGAACAACCATATCACTGCCCAGTAGAGAATTCCAGAATTCCTTCACTGAGGGCTCACAGTCATCAGCTCACTAGCTTAAGGCTTCTTCCAAAGGCTTCCCTCCAATACCAATGACAATCTTCAGTGAGCCTGCTGAGAGCGGAAATGCCTCTCACCTTAGTTAAGCTCAGGAAATGCTTCCACATGTTTACAAAGTGCCTGACATTGAGCTGGGCTCTGGGGCGGGGCAGGGTAGGGGGACGCAAACCACGGCAGGGCCCCTGCCCTCTACAGATGCTGAATGGGTGATACAGAGGAGGAGGGGAGCAAAGGGTAGATAAGGTAAGGTGGAGGGCTTCCTGGAAGAAGCAGTGATCAAGCGCGTCCTGAAGGCTGAGTGTCTCTCCACTTCCTGGACCACCTCTCTCTGTCTCAGAGAGAGCTGTGCCGTCCAGACGCACCTGGTGAGCAGCTGCTTGCAGAAACTGGAAAGGCATTCTCTCTGTGACTATGCTGAGGCAGTAACCAGCACGGAAGGAAGCAATCCTTTGTGAGACAGACACACACACACACACACACACACACACATACACAAACACACACACACCCCTACCTGCCTGTGAAATTCCTCTCCGTGTACCTAACTGCAATTCTGCCTGCCTATCTGCAAGATCATCCCCAAGGCAGGACTGTGCTCCAGGCCTCTACAGTGGTGCCTGCACTCCAGAGGTGAGATACATGCACCCATGCACACACACACCCACGTGCACACACTTGGACACAGGCACCCACACATAGGCACACACACACAGGTAGCTGCACTGTGTCCCCTGCTGCCCCTTGCACTTGGTGGACGGTCAGTAAATATCTGCTGAATTTAATTAAATGGGATCGTTTGCCTAAATGCTTAGGAGTGTTGGGGTGATTGAAGAATAAAATGCCCTAGCCAATTCAAAGCAAATAATATATATGACACAATTCAAGAAAAAATAGTGGAGTGTAAAGGGGTCTCTCGGCTGAGTAACCTCAAAGAAACCCATTTTGCCATCTTCACCCTTCTTCATGCGATTACTGAGGCTAGCCATGCCCAGCAAGCATCATTCACCCCAGGAGCCTGTGAAGCTTTAAGAAGATAACATTCAGGAGGCGCCCAGCACAGGGCTCGGCACACGGATGCTACTTGGCCAGGACCAGCTCTGTATTTTCACCTGGTCCAAGGGCACACACGCACTAGGTCATCAGCAGTCAAAGGACAAGCAGGCAAGTCCCATCACTCAGTGGTTTTCAAACCTCTTTGACCTGGACCCACAGTAAGAAATGTCTTACACAAACTACACACTGTTGCAATGAAAGTTCCACAAAACACTTATCCTCAGGATGAGGTTGCACACTGATGCTTGTGTCTCTTTCATCTCTTTCTATTTCATTTCTAAGCTGGTCTCACAACTGCTTCCAGGGAAGTTGGGGAAAGCCCTGCCCTCACTCACCCAGAGTATCAGAGCCGCTCTCCACCGTCTCGTTGACCTTCCTTGCTACTCTGGCCACGGCCTCACCCATCTTCTTCAGCATGCAGACACAGGTGTCCTGCTGCCAGCCCCCAGGCTGGTCTGCTGCTCACAAAAGGGCCTGAGCCTGGGGAAGATGCAGTGTCATGAAGTGCCCGCCTGCCAGCCAGGGGCCCACCCAGACATCCCCCTCCAGCATCCTTCTCCCCCAGGACCCAGGCTGCCAGGAAGCCTGCAGGGAGGGCCCCAGGCCACTCACCTCCTCTTGCAGGGCCCAGAGCTCAGGCCATGTCCAGGTTGGCCTCTGCACAGGCTGGTCTGCCAGTCAGAGGGTGGGGGCAGCTGGGTCCTACTGGTTTCCTGGGAGGATCGACATGCGTGACCTCACCAGACACGAGGACCAGGCCTGAACCAGCAGCCAGGCAAGGTGTGAGGACTCATGGGTGTGCTGGCCTGTGATTCACTTAATAGGCGGGTACTGGGGAGAAGGTAGGGCATAGCCAACTGCCGAAGAAAGACACCTGTCCCTCCATCCCACAGCCTCTGAGCTGGTGCCCTATCCACGCACCCCCAGGACAATTTCCCCAGCTTCCCTGTTCACCCCACACACATCTGCCTTGCGCATGGCAGGAAGTGGGGATATGAAGGCAAATCAGAGCCCTGTGAGCCCATCAGAACACACAGACTGGCGGTGGGTGGTCTCTACAAATTCCTTTCCCATGTGCCAATAGGAAGGAGAAGTTATAGTACTAGCCTGAAGACCTGATTATCAGCCTGATCCTGAGTTTATCTGCAAGAAAAGCAGGGGAGGCGGGTAGGGATGGAAATGAGAGAAGAGAAATTGGATCACTAGGGGAGAACAGGCTGAAAGAAAGGTTAGGAAGACAAAATGATATAAGGACTTGCGAACACCCTCAACTCCCTGTTTATTACAGAGAAGGAAACAAGGGCACAGAGAGGGGCTAGGTGACCTAGCCAAGGTCAAAGTGAGTCAGTGGCAAGAATCGGGTCAGCCCAGCTTCATAACCAGTGCTCACTTCTTTACAAAAATCACCCACATCACCAATAACAGCACCCCATGGAGAGAGGAATGAACTCGAGTCCAAGGTCAGCACCCCTCGTTGCCCCCAGACCCCAGTCCCAGCTTCACAAACAACTCAAGGAGCTCCAATGAACTCACCCCAAGGGCCAAAGGCAGAAGAAGGCAAAGGGCAGAGAGAAGGGGCATGGGGACAGTGCTAAGAGCTCACAGTCACCAAGAAAAAGTTCCCATGTGCTCAACTGGACAAGCGGGGCAGGCAAGGCCAAGCCAGGGCTGGCCAAGCCCACCCATCTGCTTTAAGGAGTTAGTGTGAGTTTAATATGTGTGTGCATTTCCACTAAGGAGGCTGGCACTAAAGGTTTGAGACACATGCACATGGTGCAGTGAGAAAAGTCTGATTTTGGAGACAGGCCAAATGCTCAACTCCCCCATTTATTAGCTGAGAAGCCTTGGGAGAGTCTCTTAACTACTCTGAGCCTGTTTCTTCATCCGAATAGGAGATCTAGTAATACCCAACTTAGTAGGTTAATAGGAGGGTTGAACAAAACATATATGCCTGTCTAGCTCAGAGCCCAGGACATGTAAATAATCAATAAATGGTAGTTGAGAGGATGAGCAGTGCACATGTGGACGCAACACCATCGAACCCCAGTTTAATACTCATGTGACTCTGAACAAAACACTTAGGGAACTCATCTTTGAGGAATGAGTGGAATTTCTATCTCTCCACCTCCAGGAACTCTCCTCTGATTGCCTCAGTGTTCTCTCTTCCCCTCTGAGCTTCAGTAGCACTTAATGACTTAGCACAAGTCACCTGGATTATTTATGAGCTTTTAAATATACACTTGTCAGCCATGTGCAGTAGCTCACGCCTATAATCCTAGTACTTTGGGAGGCTGAGGCAGGCAGATCACTTTAGGTCAGGAGTTGGAGACCAGCCTGACAAATGTGGTGAAACCCCCATCTCTACTAAAAATAAAAAATAAAAAAGCCTGGGCACAGTGGCTCACATCTGTAATCCCAGCACTTTGGGAGGCCAAGGTGAGTGGATCACCTGGGGTCACGAGTTCGAGACCAGCCTGGCCAATGTGGTAAAACCCTATCTCTACTAAAAATACAAAAATTAGCCAGGTGTAGTAGCGGGCGCCTGTAATCCCAGCTACTCGGGAGGCTGAGGCAGAAGAATCATTTGAACCCAGGAGGCAGAGGTTGCAGTGAGCCGAGATCGTGCCATTGCACTCCAGCCTATGCAATAAGAGTGAACCTCTGTCTCAAAAATAATAATAATAATTAGCCAGACATGGTGGCTCACGCCTATAATCCCAGCTACTTGGGAGGCTGAGGTAGGAGAATTGCTTGAACCCAGAAGGTAGAGGTTGCAGTGAGCCGAGATCGCACCACTGCACTCGAGCCTGGGCGACAAGAGCAAGGCTCTGTCTCAAAAAATAAACAAATAAACAAACAAACATATACCTGTGGCCCATATTGGCCTGTGGGCAGCTTGGAGGCAGGGAATAGATCTATACTGTGCTTCCCCCCACAATGAGCCCAGGTGCTCAGTTAGTATCCCCCAATGCTGATGATCAACAGACATCATTTGTGTTTCACATCTGAATACAGGTGAAGAGACTCTGACATCAAATTTAAGACACTGTCTACATTGAGAAGGGTCAAAAATCCAAATGCCTAACAGTGCCAGGTGAGCAACCTGCATAAGGCGAGCCAGTGCAGGGCAGCAGGGAATACAAAGGACTGTGGCAAACTGGACCCAACACCTTCACCATGCTGCCTTGAAGAACGTACCCCTAAGCCTAAATCATAGCCATGTTGCTGACATCTAGGTGACTTGTTCCAACCCCTTTATGAATGGGAAAGCTGAGGACCCAAAAGGGGAGGCAAATCAGCTAGATGAAAACAAAAAACCCAGGTCTTCTAAGTCCCAGCTTAGGACTCTTTCCACCATACCATGCTCCGTCCTTTCTCCATCTCCAATTCATCATCAATAATCACAAGCATTTACCAAGTGTCTCCTAGGTATAAGGGATAAGAATGAAGAGGGAGGAAAGAAATACAGGAAACAGCTCTGACTATTCATTCTGATGAGGAAGAGCTTTCTGAAGAACAGCACTGAAGCAATCCTGGCCACACAGCAGAGAGGGAAAGGAAGGGAAGTCACCAAGCTGCCCAGGGTCTGGGGTAGCCCTGGTGGGATCGCCTAGGTTGAATACAGGCACCTTGCCTGCAATTCTATTAGCTGCCACCAGGTGGGGGAGGTGGTGCCTTAGACCAGCAGTCCCCAACCTTTTCGGTTTCCTGGAAGACAATTTTTCTCACCTCAGGAGGAGAGGGGGATGGTTTAGGGATTAAACTATTTCACCTCAGATCATCAGGCATTAGATTCTCATATGGAGCGCACAACCTAGATCCTTCGCATTTCACAGCTTGCAATAGGGTTCAGGCTCCTAGGAGAATTAAATGGGGTCCCTGATCTGACAGGAGGCGGAGCTCAGGCAGTAATGCTCACCTCCTGCTGCACAGCCAGGTTCCTCACAGGCCAGGGACTGTAACAGCCACAGCCCAGGGATTGGAGATTCCTACCTTAGACCACTGATGAAAACTAGTCAGATCAAAAATTTCACCACTGGTGGCAAGTTCAGATACTCTATTGTGTGGGTCAGGGTGGACACAGGTACAGGAATAGAAACAACATGTAAATTCTAGGTGTCAGGGCAATTCAATAGGAAGAAGGGCCCCTTCTATTCCAGAGGATGCTCTGAGTACAGCACAAATGTGCTCTGGACTCCCAAAAGATTCCTGCTGCCCCAAATCACCACGCTCATTAACTAGCTAGGAAGCCATCCTCCCTTCACCTAAAACTGCCCCTTCCTCAGCAAGGAGGAATTGCTTCTTGAAGTCCAGCTGACAGGCCTGGGCTCCTTGGGGTACCTGGTCAGTGCCATGCACAGGGGTAGTGGTAGCAGAGAGCCACAGTGTCCCAAAAGGAAGAAAGAGACACCATCAGCCCACGTGGGCCAGATCTCTGCTTAGGGCACGCCAGTCAGCTGGCACTATTGGTCCCAGCCAGTCCCAGGCACTAGAGAGTGAGTCTTCGAAAATGTCAAGGAAAGCACTCCAAATCCCAGACACGCTTCAGCACAGGGTTAAAGCTCATACTCACACTGCCTACATCTCGAGGCATGGCCCTCTCCACACACCCCCAACCCCGTTTCCTCAGAATGGGAGTAAAGGGGCAAAGACAGGGTATGTGTTACAACAAGCTTCCCACTGGGAGGCAGGATGAGCCCAATGCTAGTAAGGCTACAGGGCCAGGCCTAGGGGGGTATGAAGACACATGGCATCGGGGGAACGAACAGATGGGCTGAGCAGCAGATGCACAGAGAGACTGAGGAGCAAGAAGACAGGGAGCCAATCAGCTCCCAGATTACTGAGGGAGGAAACTGTAGCTCTCTTACGAGGTTGTCCTCTGCTTCTCTGTAGTGAACTAAGAAGTTTTTGGGGGAAGGCAGCAGAATCCAGGGTTTCGGAAAGTTATCAGTGTTGTGAGCAGTCCCATTTGTAAAACGGAAATACCACCTTCCTCGCTGGATTGTTGTGAGAAGTAACTGATGAGTAACTTTTGAGAAAGGACTTTGCAAACCATCCCCGTTTTCCACACCAAGGCATTACCAACAGGTAATTAACCAGGTGCAGAAAGGAAGTTTGGATGTAATAAATTTGATGCCAGACAAAAACCTTGTCCAGCTTTGTGGGAGCTGGCAATACAGTCCTCCTGTCCCTATAACCCGGTTTCACCTCGACTCAGCCGGCTGGGGGAGGGGTGATTCTTCTTAAACCCTGACCTAGCCCCTTGTCTCCAGCCCTCACCAGCAAGAACTCTACCTTATCTGCAGTCCGGAGACCTCTGCAAAGGAGCCGCTGCGACAGCCCGTCCCCACCATCTGCTCCTATATTTAGTTACTGGTGTGGTCAGTTGGGAACTTTAGAGCCTGGCAGCGGCTCGGATGGGCAACCGGAGCCTCCGGAGCCATGTGTGCAAGCTGGCCCCACCGCTGGCTCCAGCCCGGGCTCTGGACCATGCCAAGCCGGGAAGCGGGTGGGGAGGTGAGGAGCGACCCAAGCAGCCCCAAAGGCCCCTTCAGATCGGAACAAAGTTGACCCACTTTCCCACCAGAGGAAAAGAAGCATGCTGGGGCGTGAGCCGGACCTGCTGGCGCCTCGTTTTTGTGCCATCGGGTTTGGGAAGCTCAGCGCGCGCTCCCTCAAGAACATCTAGGGATCCTCTGACTGAGCCTCCAGCACTAAGCGCGGTGGCCAGGCCGGGGTCCCCCGCCCCGCGCGCCAGAACCCGCCTCACCCCCGGTGCCTGCAGCCAATGGCACCTCGTCCGCTGGCCTGGCAGGCGGGGACTGGGAAAATGAAGCAGGCAGAGGGGAGAACGCTAGTGATCGCAGAGGGCCGGGGGCTCCCACGCTGCCCGGAGGCCGAGCGGAACGCTCTGGAGCAGGCGTCTGCAGCTCCCCAGAGCGGAAGCAAACCCCGAAAGTGTCGCTTCGGGGACGAAATGCACAGCAGCCTCTCCCAGCAAAGGGCGCCTCCCGCCGGGAAAGGAGGCCCGCCCGGGAGCGCTTCTCCGAGCTCCCTATTCCCTGGCAAAGCTGCACCTACTCCCCCGAACCATAGGGGTCCAGCCGCAGTAGGCAAGCAAGAGCCGGCGCATGCCAGGCACCTTGGCACCGCAAGAGCCTCCGCTGGTGCACCGCTGCTCTTTTCCAGCGGGTAACCTGGGGGAGGGGAGGGGACGCTGCAAAAACCGGGACACTTCTCGCCTCCTCTCCCCCAGCCCCTGCAACGCTCGGCCTCTGACTACGTTTACTTTGCGGGGCACGAAGAGTGTGGCCCGTTCCGGGCCGCTTTCGGCTCCACTTACGGCGACAATGCCTCCTAGCGCCCTGCGCAGCGCAGTCAGGCTCCCTCAGCCGCCGGCGGCGCCCCAGGCGAGTTCCCAACCGGCAGGGCGGGGCGCGCGGGGCTGCAGGATCTGCGCGCGCGGCCGCTCCTCCAATCCCCGCGTCAGGACCGGCACCGCGGCTGGAGCAGGCTCGGCCCGGGCTGCGCGCAGCCAATCAACGCTGGCCTGGCGCGCGCGGGTGTGGTGCGCGCGCGGAAGGGCAGCCTGCGCGTTCCCGCTCGCCAGGAGGAACGGCTTTGTGTGCGGCTTCTAGAGGAAGAACGCTGGGAGGGCGGAGATACGGAATTTGACTAGCAGTGCATCCCAGGATCAATAGAACCGGGGCTCCAGATGGTCTCTTCTCCAGGGAATGGAGTTGAATTAGCCAGATCAGGCGTACTTCGAAACACGTGAAGCACTTTGGAGGCCAAGGTAGGCGGATCACCTGAGGTTGGGAGTTCAAGACCAGCCTGACCAACATTCCCTTGGGCCTCGTTGGATGTTAAGAGTTTCATTATGCCCTCTCTACCCCCCTCCCCTCAATATGTTAAAGTCCATCAGAATGTGATTTGATTTGGAAATAGGGCATTGCAGATGTAACTAGTTAAGGGCATGCTGAAGTAGAGTGGGTCCCTAATCCACTGAGACTGGTGTAGTTTTAAGAGGAGAAGAGACACAGAAGAGACCACAGGGAAAACCACCTGTGATGATAGGGATGGGAATCCGCTGATGCATTTCCAAGGCCAGGAGTGCCAAGCACTGCCAGCAGAGACCAGAAGCTAGGAACGGGCATGAAATAATTTCTCCTTCAGAGCCTCCAAAAAGGAATTAACCCTCCAGACACCTTGATTTCCAACTTATAACTTACAGAGCTGTAAGTGAATAAATTTCGATTGCTTTACACCCCCCAGTTAATGTCAATTTGTTATAGCAACCCTAGGAAAAAACTGCAATATGTTAGTAGGAATAAAAAGAAGAGGATGATAAATATCTCCAAACTAAGTCTTTTGAAACTGAATACTTAGTATATGCAAGGCCTTGTTTCTTGGGGTAAACGAACGTGAATGAGACACAGACTCCCCCGCCTCAAGGGGTTAACAGTCAAGTGGATACCTGAGCAGCCATGTTTTCTGACCCTTGTGCCTTCCGAAGAGAGACTATGGAGACCTCTCTCAACCCATCAACACCATATCCTTGCCAGATATATACCAAGTACCAGATATAAATAACTAATGGATAGAGTCTCTTTCTGCCCAAACCAAGATGCTGCTTGTCACTGTAGACAAAGCCACATAGCTGCTTCTGTTTTCAGTGAAAACCAGCATGACACTTCTCACCAACTTTTACATGTGGACATCTTCTCTGCCCTGCTAGTTCATATGCAGATCTGAGACAGCCAGTGCAGTGTTCCTGTGCACATGGTCAGGGCTCAGTATATACTGCTGGCTGATGGCCCCAGCCTGGGGTTTCCCACATTCATGCTTTCCCTTAGCTGGTCCCCATCCTGGACCCTTTAACTCCACAGAGACAAGATCCCTCCCTAGCTCAAATGCCAACTCTTCTATTCCTACTGTGTTTGCTTCTCCAGAGCACTTACTATATTATACCCATTATTGTATAATCTCTGCACAAGTCTTTTCTCCCAAGAGTCTGCCTGATTGCAAATACCAGAGCTTGGCTCATGTTCAGTGCTTATATCCATCAGTGTTTCCTGCATAATAAAACATCCCAAAATTTAGATGTGGCTTAACACAACAATTACTTATTTAGTTCATGATTTTATGAGTCAGCATTTTAGGCTGGGCTTAGCCAGGCGGTTCTTCTGGTCTCAGGTGGACTCCCTCATGCATCCCAGTTCACCAGGCAGTCGGAAGGCTCTGCTTTGGGGAGGTGCCTAGCTGCCAACTGAGGCAAGTAAGCCACGTATCTCTCATGTACTAACAGGCTAGCCTAATTTGTTCACATGGAACAAGAATGGAATTGGGTAAGGTTTCTCCAAGTCTAGGCTCAAAGTTGGCACTACTCCACTTCCACAGTTGTATTTACCAAACCAAATTGCAAGGTCAACCCAAGTTCGAGGGTGAAGAAATAGACTCCATCTCCTGCTGGGAGGAACAGCAAAGTCACATTGCAAAGAACATGAGTACAGCGATGAGCAGAAAATTGGGGCTAATTTTGTAATCTATCACAGGACTCAGTAAGTATTCTTGGGCCGGGTGCAGTGGCTCACACGTATAATCCCAGCACTTTGGGAGGCTGAGACAGGATGATCACTTAAACTCAGAAGTTCGAGAGCAGCCTGGGCAACATGGTGAAACCCCATCTCTACAAAAAATACAAAAAGTAGCCAGGCATGGTGGCATGAGCCTGTAGTCCCAACTACTGAGGAAGCTGAGGTGGGAGGATAGCTTGAGCCCAGGAGGAAGACCAAGTCTCAAAAAAAAAAACCCTGTTCTCACAATACCTAGCATGTAGTGGGTGCTCAGAAAATATTTATCAACATTGGAAAGATTTTCAATCACTATGCTTACCGACTACATTCAATTCAATCAGGTGGCAAAATATTATCCTTCACTGTTAGGGTCTACAAGCCTCCTGCCATTGGCAGCCATTTTCTGTTTAAGAAAAGCAAGTGAAGGAATCAGGAAGATAGGGCTGTGCAAGGCAAGCCCCTGAGGCTTCTCAGTGAAGAAGCTCAACTGGCCCAAACAAACAGGCTCCTCTGAAGAGATCCAGAGCATCTTTGGAGGCCTGGACCCCTTAGTGCCAAGGCTGGCCACCTGAGTCCAAAGCCACACCCCCTGCACAGTCTCAGCTACTCAGGAGGCTGAGGCACGAGAAATGCTTGAACCCAGGTGGCAGAGGTTGCAGTTAGTTGAGATCGTGCCACTGCATTCCACTCTGGGTGACAGAGTGAGACCCTGTCTGTCTCAAAAAGAAAAAAGAAAGAAAAATAGGGCTTGAGCCTAATGCAGTGGCTTACACCTGTAAATCGCAGCACTTAGGGAAGCCAGAGCAGTTGATTGCTTGAGCCCAGGAGTTCGAGACCAGCCTGGGCAACATGGCAAAACCCTGTCTCCACTCAAAAGTAAAAAAAATTAAAAAATTATCCCAGCGTGGTTGTGTGTGCCTGTAGTCCCAGCTACTCTGGAAGCTGAGGTGGGCAGATCACTTGAGCCCAGGGAGGTTGACGCTGCAGTGAGCCATGACAGCACCACTGCACTCCAGCCTGGGTAACAGAGTGAGATCCTGTCCGAGAAGAAAAAAAAAAAAAAAAGACCCAGCTGGGTGGTTCATGCCTGTAATCCCAGCACTTTGGCAGCACAATGTGGGAAGATGGCTTGAGATCAGAAAGTGGAGCCCGGACTGGACAACATGGCAAAATCCCATCTCTACAAAATATACAAAAATTAGCTGAGCATAGTAACATGAGCCTGAGTCCCAGGTACTTGAGAGGCTGAGATGGAAGGATCACTTGAGCCCAGGGAGGTTGAGGCTGCAGTGAGCCATGATCACGTCACTGCACTCCAGCCTGGGCAACAGAGTGAGACCCTGTCATAAACAAACAAGCAATATTATTAAGTTCTAGCAAATTATTGTTGTCTGATAAAGGGCTAAGCCTGAAGCCTGTTCTCTTTGTTATAAAAGGATCCTAGGAAGTGCTAGAGAGATAGTACACAAACACCTGCACCCTGGTTTATTGAAAGTGATTCAAATAGATTTGAAATGTAAATAACTCTTTCATATCAGTGCTGGTATGCCACCAGGAATACAGCTCCCATCTTGGGAAAGACTGTCATATTGCAACAAAGAAGAATGGGTTCAATAGTAATAAGTAAAGAGTTTCAGGACAGGTTGCTCCCAATATGCCCACCAACTGCAGGAAAAGATGATACCCAAATAAGTCTTAAAGAAGTCTTCAAAGAAGTCTTAAAATATTGAATTTCAATAGGCACAGAAGGCCAAAGAGTGGATGGGAGTGGACAAGAAGTAGGGAAGGGAAGCCTATTCCTAGAAGAGGCTCAGCTGAGCAAAAGCTTAAAAGCAAGAAAGCAAAAAGTATTCCTGGGAACACCAAGGGTTCATTATTTAGCGAAAGCTTG